CAAAATCAACAAAACAGCCGTCCGTTGGCAGATATGGTGGAATTCAAGAGTGTGCCTCAGTGTGTATACTTCGTCCGCACATCCATGCCCGACAAGGAATCCGGCTTCGTTGGACCTAGTTCTAGAAGCACCCACAGCCTGGAATCGCCCGAGAATGGCGAAGATTCCTGCAGCAACGTCGACGAGGTTAACGCCGCGGTAGTTCTACCATCCCTTTTTATCTTCCTCCTTGAGGATAGATACAAAGATGTCCTAACCCCGGTCATTCGGGGCACGCTTCTTCAATCACCTCATGGAGCTAGGACGCCGGTTTCGACGCAAAACTTCTAGGTCTCAGCGAGTATACCGTCCTCTCCATGTGTCTAGTTTGGAGAGGGAGGAAAATCCGATGCAGAAAAGTGCAACAGAGTGGTGGGTTGGGTACCGACGTTAATATGGTGCCCGATGTGATCAAGCCAGCGCTCGATCTTGGGCAAGCTGCCCGCAATAAAGCCGCCACTAACATTACGGAGTCACTCAATGCAGAAGGATTACCACTAACTTGGTAGATAATTTGTCAGTTTTCGAGTGTCCCTAGCATTCGAGGCCTGCTCCATGGAGGACGCTACCTTAGCCCAATGCTTCTTCCAGTAATCCTTGGACGACCTTATCTTCATCTTGGAGAGTTGACGGCAGGAATCATCATTTTTGGACCTGGCTTGAGCCGTCTGAACAGACAACTTCAGAGTCCATAGACTAATTTAATTACTGTAGCGTCGCTGGGTAGGAGTACTAGGTCGCCACAAAGAGGTCAGCTGTACGTCAGCCGACTCCTGCTGCGGGCCTTGGCAGAACATAGCGCAATCGTCGTACTATGTAGGACCATCTATCACTAATGCGAGAGTTGTCAGCTTTGATATGTAAGTGGATGCATAATAACTGCATCATACAAATGTCGCGAGCTCGTGCATCCGATAACCTTAGCTGTTGCTTCATATGATGGGTCCTAGTGCGAATGGACGACGCCAGGCGAGTAAAACTTTTTCCATCGGCCCAGCCTCCTCACTGCCTCTTAGAACTTGTATTCCCGCTTGTATGCATCATTTGTTGCCTTGACGACCCGACACAGAACTGTCAAATGCTTCCGATGAAAAGGTACCTGGTAAATCAAACGTTGCGGTAGTGTATACGGTTGGGGTCGGATCGTTACCAAGTTAGAAAATGAACCAAATCCGGTGCAAACACAAGTCCTGGGGGAAGTGGAGGCGGTTGGACCCAGATGCAACCACAGAACGCCGTCCATACCACTGTGTTGGAAGTCCTTAGGTTCATGCGGTGCTGATCTCGAGGCTGCTTCTAGCAAGGATAACCAGCGTATTTTCTCAAAGGACGACACGTGACACAAGAAGCACGTAAGAGGGTTGGGAGCAGTTCTTCGACGCCGAGCCAAAATGAAGCAGAGGCTGTGGGAGATGCAGACTGGCTGACTCGCGGCGCTGGAGAAGTAGTGTTCGGAGACCGCGTGAAGTTGGAAGCCTGTTCGCGCCGACTAAGGCAGTGTACGGCTCCTAATCCAATTACATCAGTACTCGGCCCAGGCGGGAAAATCCTGCCGCCGACCCATTTGAGCGTGCGCTCAAACTCCCTTTGTGATCAGAAAAAAACCACCAGTGAGCTGCCTCACACGACAACATAATGATCTCGATCGTTGGCCGTCTCTCTGAACGATCATGAGTTTACTGCGGGCGTAAACAATCTCGGACGTCGATCTGACTTACTGGCACGCTGAACAGGCTGACTGGTGTCTCTGGCAAGACGATACGTACAAGTACCTCAAGGCTTCAAGGAGACCGCGATTGTCAGTCATCACTAACTAAAAAAACAAGCGATAGGCCTATGGTGGCAGTCATGAAATCGCAATCCGTAACAGTGAAGGGTACCCATATGGGTACTTCTTCGGTTATTCGCACGCAAATCCAGAAGGCGTGCCGCCTCTGGAAGCACAATACAGATTCCGAAGACAGTGGAACAGAGATGTCCCCCGTTGTGTGGTAAATGCAATAAAAATGTCGAGCGGAGCCCAATGCCCATTCAATCCCAGCCTAGAGCGGCTCACGCAGATCGACAGACTACACAACACCGTGGTAATGCGCGTCTCAAACAGGCCAGTGTTGAGGGCCTCGGGGTGCGGAAGCCTGGGGTTACTTATCAACAAACACTTGTCATGCGCTAATGCCGTTAAGCGTTGAAAACAGAAATACGACGTCAACAGCAGCCAAAAGGCGCAGCCCAGGTCTCCAGAACCCACCAGGCCTTCGGTAGTCTGCCGCACCCGATGCGACACTAGAGATGAGCATCACTGCTGTTCTAGCTGCAGATGTTGATGAGCGCCGAGACAGGGACAGCATACACGACTCAGGCAAGAAACTCGAACTACCGCTCCCACCGCTTCAGAATAATACTGAAGAGTGAGGAGAGGATGTCTCGAACCAACGTCTTGAAAAACGATGAGCATGCCGTGCGAACAGCTGAAGAGAGCTTGCCCAAACGGTTATTCTGTTGAAGCCCATAGGGTTAATCATAGGCAAGGTGGGCAAGACCTATGGGTCGAACCGACCTGTACGGCCTCCTTAGCGGGACACGCAAGAGTCCAGTCCAAGTTATAAACTCATACCTGCGCATAACTTCGAAAAGGGCAAAGCATCCCCGTGTCCTAATCCCAACAATAATCCTTACGAAGAACTAGACCGTTGTTCCGGTCTTAACCCTAAACCAAGACTCCGCATTCAGCAATTGCCCCTAACAATTGCTATATTCGACATTGACTTGCTGATACCTTTATACACTTGGTCCTTAGCCTAACCCTAAACTATGCCCTGGTTTCGCTGGAAGTTGGCTTAAAGCCACTCGTGTTGCAGGCGGCACCGTCCCCATGCCCTGCTTAGGGAGCGACCAAATCTGGCCGATGCACAGTCCCCTGCCAACTGCACCGTCTGCAGGGCTCCCGGACTTGTCACCTGCGCGCGTTTCCATGTGACGTCACTCACCTGGCTGGACGCACGCGACTGCACAATCGAACAGAAAAACCATTGTTATCCATGGTTTTGGCAACAACGCGGCGGAGTTTGCCAACACAAGCGGTCAGGTGGCAGAGACGCCACGCGTAGCATGAGTCCGTCAGGCCGGGTCTATCAAACCCGGCCCCGCTGCTGCTGTTGTAGGGGAATTCCCTACTGTGGGTTCAGAGAAAGGACCAGACGGGTCATAGAGCCATTACGGAGCATAGATGTAGCTTGAGAAGCCACCAACTGGTGGTACATTCCATGCACCTACTTAGTATTGAAGGTCAGGTCGTATTAGATCCTTAAAGTGCCTTAGCAGCCCTTGTACTACAGTGGAGGCCGATATCCTCCTATTAGGGAACTGATATGTACGGCGACTGGCGTTGCCTCAGCCTCATCAGCCACCGCATCTCAGCCCATCTGCAGTTGCTTTGACCTGATTTTGCTGTTGGAACAGGCCTGGGGGAAGACGTTCTAGAGGTCAGCCTTGCTATAAACAAATGTATCACATTCTTCCGGAGAAAGTACTAACCCTCGCCCATCGCAGTCTCAGTCGCTACGAACGAACGCAGTCGGCAGCCAAGTGCAATGCGGAGTACCATGAGAATGCAAAAGGACTAGATCCCGTATCGAATGCGCGGCTTAAAGCCATCCCATTCTGGCCAGATGAACAGTCCTCGTGTTCGCTCAAAGTTGTTCAGGCGCAGCAACCATGGGCGAAAACATCTCCGGCTCGTGACCAAACCCGATAAAGGTAGCCAATGGGTCTCATTCGGTTGTGCAATTAGGGAACAAACGGATCTGAGTGCATCCTGACACCGCAAACAGTCCGTCTCGCAAATGGATCGTCAGAACCAAGCCGATGTCACACAGGCTTCAGGAACAACTTTGCTTACACTGTTTTGGATCCTGCGCTACACTCACTCGCGTTCCCCACTTTCCTGAAATATGCGTGAATGCGTAGGAGCAACTAGCCGCGCCACACTAGCCACGGTCTGATTGGGCAAGAAAATAGGTGAAGACTATATGCAGCAAGCACTGTGGATTATGCTATCGGAAGGCGTTGGTCAACCTCGGAAGACAAGCTTTAGTAATCAGTTATGTCCGATCTCGGTCTTGAGATGCAGACGTCCCTCCCGCGTCCAAAAAACCAAACAATCTGCACTGCCGCTCAATATTCCAACCCTACCAGACTTCAATAGACAAGTTGCAAAAGTCACACCTACCTGCCTAATAGGCCCTCTGTAATACACGATAAAACAGCGAAACGACAGGCCATGGGTCATCTGCAGCACGTAACCTGCGTCAGTAGTAGTCATCTGTACCCGCCACTCTGGGTCAGGTCACTTGCGCTACGGATGACAGAACCCTGCATGGACCTCAGTACTCATGAGGTGTCATCTGAGCTATTAAGCTTAGTTGAAGAGACCCTCGTGCAAATCGTGCGACAACTCTGGGGAGTTCTTAGGAGCCCTACAGAATGTGCATGAAAATGTACGAGTGCCGCGATTGCGTGCAGCACCAAGCGCGGTACGCTCAAGGTTTCTCGGGCGCAGTGGTCTGCGAATACAGACCATTTGGGACAGAAGTCCGAGGGCCCGGTTAGCTCGGCAAATAAGCTGGCACAAGTGGGTCTGCGCTTAAACACAAAACGGAGTCCCCCATCGCACTGTGCGGACAGCAAAATCCGTAAGACGGGGCTCATTCAATAGCCTAAACTTGAGAAGGGAACCTACGAGCTACCTAATACGATAGCAGGCAACAGGCTTATTGAAGCCAGATTTGAAGTCAAATACATCTCAACGACGTTTTGACTTCTGATTTTCTGGTAGTCCCGTGGAGGGCGCAGAATCTGCGTCCCTGAGAAAGAAGGCGTTTCTTTTAAGGTTTATTTTTAAAAAAAATTAAAAAATAGCTCAAGCTGGCCGGAAAACCAACGCACAGGACCTACCTCAGAGTCTACCTCACTCCAAAAGTTAGCTTCTTTGTCGATGAAGCATAACATCTAAACATCCATCATTATTTGACTTACGTGCCCGATGGCTGAAAGGGTGGTATTTGTGCCAGACAGCTGTTGAAAGGAATCACATTACTCGTCTTATGGACGTGCCACACAAGACTACTGGCAATTCAGCACAAAAAAGCTGGACATTTTTACGCTACTTAATTTCGTCATTTGATAATATTCGACATACCAGCACCCCAGTCAAAACGTCAACGACTGACCGCGAACAGGTCCTTACTTGTTCTCGTCCTTTCATCGAAAAAGAGAAAATAAAACGGCATAAAAGTCACATTTTTTACACAACCGGCCCTATACAAACTATGTCAACAAGCTGGTTGGAAAAAGGTAAAGTTCACAATAGTACGATCCACTGACTTGCGTTAGAACCGAACATTGGGTAGACCGGTCCATGTGGGCGGCACCTGCGGAACTTGTTGCGGATAGCCCGGCATAGCTATAAATAGGAGTGATTAGGAAATACGAGTTTTTACCTGGTGGTTGCATAGGCACAAATGACAGGTGTGGTGTCGAAACAGGCATGGTCCTGGGCACATAAACCTGTGGCGGGATTCCAGGAACTATGTGTGAAGGAATAACCGGGAGCGGTGCAGGAGGAGCGACGACTGGAACCTGTGGAGCAACATTAGGTGGCGGAGGTGGTGGCCTGAGCGTGCGTGCTAACTTTTCCTTGTACTTCGGAAGCTCTGCTTTTAGTTCCTCCTGAAGAAATTTGCGTTCAAGTCATTACGACTTACCAGTGACAAGTCTTCATCAGGATACACAAGCTCTATGGCAATGCCGTTCGCACCAGTTGCCGGCCTAATTATTTTTTGTACAGGACCCTTCGACACTTCTACATCAGAGTATGCGGGGAACGTAGGTTTCGGCGCCGGCTACGGAAAGCATGTTGATGATTCTGGAAGAATGGCTTACTTCGGGAGGCCGAGGTTCCGCTATTTGTGGTGGGGGTGGAGGCGGAGGAGGGGGTGGTGGAGGAGCAGGCCCCACTGCCGGAGGTATAAATGGAGGCACGCTACAGAAACAGTAGTTTAGCGGCATAATACAGATTACCTCCCAGGGATAGGACACGGCATAGGCATGTATGTCATCATTCCAGGAAGTTGCGGCAGGAACGGCAGAGGAACGGGTGGAACAAAAGAAGAGGTAGTTGGTGTCTCGTCTTCTAACTTCTCCATCTTCTCGGGTGGTTCATCCTCGCCTAGAAGGGGTAAGGTGCTTTCCAAAATATACCTTCTATGCCGAGTTTCTGCCGTTCATGCTCTAGAATATCAGCCTCTGGGATTCCCGACATGCCATATATATCGATGACGGTACTTGACCGATTAGGCAGGGCATTGGGGATTTTGTCAAGTTTTTCCTTATGGACCTACTGGCGGTCAAGTATGTGGAGACAAATTACCGCATTGCAGTGAATTGAAAGACCGGGACCGGTGAATAATTTGCGATGACAATATGGGCACTTAAAGTGCTTTGCCTTCTGGTGATGAATGAGGATCTTTTCATCCTCAAAATCTCTATTGCAGTACCAACACCACGGCTTGAGCTGCTTCCTCTTTTTGCGGCCCATCGCAGAAGCCCGTGCAGTAGATACAGACGCCCGAACTAAAAAATGGCGCAGAGCAGTAAAACAACACCCGACCTGCAACTTCCTGAAGTCGTGCAGGGTGAAGAGAGATGCATGCGATTCACTTGCCTGTATAATTGTAACAAGCTCTCCGGGACGTTTCACTGATGCAATACAAATCCAGCAATGAATATTTCCAATCGAAGATTTCCTAAGGTGATTGAGTCACAGGCATGTTGGTATAGGAATATGTGAAAATGTCTCTGGGTAAATGGAGACGGAGGAACAATGAGTCTTAAATAAATAGCTGTCAGTAACATACTCGTAGGAATAAACACACAATGCAGATATATTCAAAAAATGCGAAACGGTGAAACAAAAGAACCATTTGACATGCTTTACTAACCTTAAACCCTGAAACCGTGGCCACAGTGTCAAGGGGCAGCCCAACGCGCGATACCGGTTCTATTTGCTCTGAAGGGAGTTTTTGTGAAGATCCATAAAGGACTGTTTGGAAAAACCTACGAGGCATTCGTCCGGTCTCAATTAGAGTACGAAGTTCAGGCCCCGCGACCGTAGTTCAAGAAGGATTATCAACAGGTGGAAAAAATACAGGCGATGACTACGAAGATGGTCAGGAATCTTGATCATCTGCCTTACGAAACCACACTGGCTGGACTGACTTTGTTCCATCTTAATTACAGACAAGTGAGCGAAAATCTCATTCAAACCTGTTGGATTGTCAGAGGCCCTCAGTGTGCCCTAGACTTGGACGAATTCTTCGAATTGGCCGGGTCGGACCGTCTTTGTGGTTAGAGGAAGCTGGCGCATACGGACATCCGATGAAACGACTTCTGCAGAGGGTCAGCGGAACATGGAACGGACTTCCTGATGAGAAGGTTCTGTCTGAAGCTGTTAAATCCTTAAAGCGCAGACTATACGCTCATTTGCTGGAAAGCTATCGTACATAAAATCAAAATTGTGTTAATGACGGTAGTTTGCGCCTAAATCTCACTTTTGAATTTCCGGATTTACTGATGTAACAATTAACTATATTGCAAGTTATTCATACAAAACTTACTTTAAAAGTCAAATTGGCGAACACGTGTTTTCAGTAACTCTTCATCAGGCCAAAACGGTTACAAAGAAGTTTAAATTATGCGAATTACATGACTTATACGTGACTCGGGGACAATTAACATCCATCGTTCCCACGCCACTCGCATGACGAGGCGTGCTATGGCGTGGTCGGCCTGTCGTGATCATTGGGTTAAGGGGGCGAGGGAGAGTGGGGCCATAGGCTGTGAGTACGTCGGGTACCTTGTGCACACACCCTGCCATCAGGAGGTTGGGGCGACGTTGGGGTCGGCGTCGGCCACGGAAGACAGAGCGCCTGTGTCAGAGTCTTCTGACAGCATAGCACTGGATTGGCTAGCCGTATAGCCACTGCCTTGGCTGTAGCTATCACCTGTTGGCGTAGGCCTCTGAAGAAGCTTGCTGGTGTCCGGTAGACAATCTGAAAGACTTCTTTAGCATCGACTCGGTGATTCGTATCGACAAGATGTGCGAGAATAGAACTCGAGATCGATTTCTTCTCACCTTTGCCTAGCCAGGCCGGTATGTGTTCACGTACTCTCTTTTCCAAGCGCCTCGTTGTCCGGCCAATGTATCCCGCTCCACAGGAGCAAGTGGATGAATAAATACACATCGATGTGGCCTGCAACGGGAGTCGGTCTTTACCTCCCAAGCGTAGGAGGGGAGAGTTAGTGAAACATACACGTAAGTTCGCCGCGGGGAAAGCGCTAGCGATCGCTGTCTTCATACGTCTTCTTACTAGGTCACTTGCTGCGTCCCCTTGAAAAGGCAGTCTTATAAATAAGCCCTTTTTTCTGAAGTTGTCATGGTAGGCTTTGCAGTGCGCTCTCCTATATCTTGGAGGATAAATGTTTCTGGTCATCCGTTTTGTATATGTATATATTGAAGGGTTACAGGCAGAGCCCTTGATGACCCTATTTATGTACAGTGCTTTCGCAGATTCATACTCAAAAATAAAATAAAATTGCAGGCATTTAAATTGTGATTGGGTCACAGTTCAATCGTAATCATAATGTAGTGCATGGGGTCACTGTAAATTAGTGCGGAAGATTGTATATGACAGATTTTACAAAACTGGCTGTGCGTAGTCATGCTGTACAAGCCGATTCCTGTCGAAAACTAGACGAGCAAGTTTTTTTTAAACACACAAACTGTGTCAGCCGTCACCATCTCGCTTGGAAGCGAGTTCCACGGTCTGACAACCCGCTGGCTGAATGAAAATTTTCGTCGGTCTAAACGCGTGCGCTCATTCCCAACTTTGTATGCATGGCCGCGTAGTTGGTTTGTACGGGCGAACTCAAAGAAGTCCTCTGCTCTTAATGAGCAACCCTGGCCGCGAACAATCCGGAACGTCCAGAGTAGACTGCAGTTTATTTGTCTATAAGAGAGAGGGAATAGGCCAAGCAAATTCCGCCTCTCCTGATAAGACAAATGCTTCAGACCGTCGACCATCTTTGTCGCTCTGCGTTGCACCTGTTCGAGTAAGTTGATATCCTTCCTCATCCATGGTGAGGCTGCTGGCATTCCATACTCTAGATGAGGTCTTACAAAGACACCAAAGAGTCTTTCGAAAAGTTAGGGAAGAAATACTTTAAATGCAAGTCTGATCCAGTGTAGAGTACTAACTGCCTTCTGGACCATCTTTCTACAGTGTTCTGATGGCGATAGATTTGTGGTCGTCCATACACCCAGATCTCTGTGTCTTTCCACAGTTTCTAACCTCGTCCCGTCAATATAGTACTGGTGTTTGGGAGAGGCATTGCGGCCGGTGTTCAGATGCAAGACCACGCATTTGGACACGTTAAACTTCAAAAGCCATCTGTTCGACCAAGCACGCAGTTTGTTGATTTTCGACTGCAACTTCTCTGCGTCATCATCACACTTGACTTCACTCCATATTTTTATGTCATCCGCGAACATGAGAGCCTCGCAATTCACTTCGCTGATGCAGCCATTAACATAAATCAGGAAGAGTACTGGGCCTAAGACAGAACCCTGTGGGACACCACTTTCCACCTTTACCCATTCCGAGGCAGAATTACTAACGACGACTCTTTGTAGTCTGGAGGACAGAAAACTCCTGATCCACTTAAACATTCTTCCTTGAATCTCAACATCCCAGATCTTCTGTAAAAGAAGCCTGTGTAGGACACTGTCAGAGGCCTTCTTGAAGTCAAAAAATATGACATCTACTGGAAAACCCTTATCGGTAACTCCTGTCCATTTCTCGTACGAGTAAAGAACATTCGTTAGTCAGGAGTGCCCTGGACGAAAGCCGTGTTGGGCATCACATAATATTTTGTTCTGTTCCAGGTATTTCATCAAGTGTCTTTTGATAATGCGTCCCATTATTTTACCGGAGTGCTGACTATCGTATTTGTAGCTGGTGTCTTTTTTCCGAAGTTTAAGCCTTTATATCGATGTGAGATTTAGACCTATAAATGAGTTTAGGTTCCGCTGATTTCTGTTTAATCCGGGTTTTGTAGAACAAGCTCAGTTTCGGCTTGTGAGTAGAAGGTTACTTAGAGGGGTTTATTTTTGCTTCTAGAAAGAAGACTTTCGGTGGTAGCTATGCGGATGTTTAGGCCACACGAATGTAGAAGTTTTTGAATTGGAGGCCCAAATCAGAGCCATTGCGCGCGAAATGATGCCCAACATTTTAGGCATAATAGAGTCCTGCATCCATTCTGTAATTCCTGACGCTTCGTTTTCTTATAATGACTTTGATTTCTACCGTTGGGATCGTACAAATAGGCTTGGGGTTGTCTTCTCATCTTTTATCGTACCCTTAGCCCTCTCTCTATTATCTGGATACCTTCACATTCAAGGGAAGATTCCGCTTTGCATACATTATTTTCGCGCCACAATGAACGGCAAAAATGGCTGTATTTACAATCCCCAAACCTTTCAGACAGTCATGATGCACAAGTTTACGAAATCGTTAAA